AGAAATAATTTAGGTTTAATGTGCAAAAATGGCTTTTTTGCATCCCCTGGAAATCCCCTGGAATGTATACATGTATTAAACATACGAGTAAATATGTGCGCAATGCGGGGAAAACGGCAAATTGACGTGACGTTACGTGACGTGAGAAGAATTAGATCAAGGATATCGTGTTGTTGCATTGACCATTTAGCGGTATATCGTCTTTAACTTTATGAACGGATTTATTTGGTCATAACACCCTCGAGAGATACACAATATTTATTTTCAAAATATTTTATACATGTGTACACAATCAAACTCATTTTTATTTACATGATATTCTATTCTAACAATTTAGCAGTATCTCCCTCCCGTGTATTTATTTTGAAACATTGCATTTTTTAAAAATATTATATTAATATATGTATATTATGTATGTATGTGTATATTAGTTATATTTTGTATTTATGTATTTAGAGATATTTTAATCGACATTTTTTTGGCATTCTACGCTCAGAAATAATAATGTACTGTTATTTTCAATTGTATAAAATTGTTATGTAAAAAAATGAACTTATTTCAGACGTCCTAGAGTCAAGATTGATTTATATTTCGTAATAAGCGATAATTCTTTGATATTTCATGGCTGGTAAAAGGAATGAGAATCGCTTCGTCAAATTGTCTGATCGTCGAGGGTAAACAATCAAATACGAAACGCTAGTAAATCGTCCGACATTTTCAAGATACCTACTGCGAGAGCGCTTAGAAGATATTCCTTGAGAAAGCAATGCTCTTTGTGGGATGATCAACAGACAGTTACGATTCTTAAAGTGCGAAATGGCATTTGCAATCCTTGTTCGTGAGATATGGTTTCTATTTGTTAGTTGTCCAATATGAACTGATGAAAGTTAATATTTTGCGCTTTATTTTTTATATCTAAATATTTCATACCAAATTTTCCTAAATAGATCTTGCGAATAGATTTGTGTAAACAATTTGTAAAATTTTTAAATTAAATTTTCTGCAACTTTGCATATAGTTATATTTTATAATTAATACTTTATGATACTTGAGGAATATTGTGTAAATGCAATCAATGATTCATATAAAGTTCTACAACAATCTGTGAATAAAATACAAATTTTTTTTGTATTAGAAATAAAACGTGGAAGCGCAAGAATGTTATCTTCGAATCAGTTATATTTCTATTTAATAATTCAGTATTGTATAATAAAATGACATCTTGTCTTTTATGCGATCTAATGAAGATCCTGTTTCTATGAAGAAAATATATGAAGAACTCGAAATCGATTTTCTCTTATTTACTAAAAAAATACTATGTAAAAGTCATAAAATATTTTCACGGTTAAGGCGCAAATAATTGAATAAAATCATTAACCGTAGCAAATGTACAAACGTTTTCTTATATCTTCGATGTCGCGGGATCGCAAAGTTTATTTGATTTCCTCGTTTCTTATTCAGTCGATGAGAAAAGCAGCGTCTCGAATCGTTCAAAGAGATAACAGAAACGATAGAACAGCGCAATTGAACGACAATCTAGCCTACACTTTCTATGTCGGGTGCGATGAAAGGTTGAATGGAGAAATCATGAGCGACGTCAGAAAACAAGAATGAGGGAATCGTCGTGAGAACCGAAAAAAAGGAGGAACTTTATGTATCATTCTTTCTGGTCCGGTGAAACTTCACCGTTTTGCATGGTTCAAGGAAAAGGTGAAGCGACAACGCAAAATAAAACCGAGAAAATTGGAGTGGTTAGAGAGGATCCTATGCGTTACGGATAACAATGCGATCTCGGGCGCGTCCCACCCGCGCGACTGTGAGAGGATTCTCATTATTACTTCTCGGACGCAATACGGAAAACGGTGATTAGTTGTGCAAATGGACAAACGGAGCAGCCTCCGGCAGTAACATAACTAAGTATGTCCAATATGGAAATAAGAGAGAAAGATAGAAATTCAAATCATTCATAAGATCATTCGAAGATATGCGAAGAGACTTCTCGCAACGATAAAACGCGAATATTATGAATAGAATATTGTTTCCGCAATCATTAACTTTGAGAATTAATTTAGAGAATATATTCACAGTTAAGTCTCTTAATTAACTTCAACAGATTTCAATCGTATTAATTATACAGTTGAAATCTGTTGAAGTCAAATAAACGATATTTATCTTATTTATGAAATTTTTACATGAACCATATAAACAATTAACGAATTCTGATATAAATGTTTTATATAAATAATTAACGGATAATTAATGGGTAAATTATTGGGTAATTATTTTACTATCATTTGCATAAACAACATGCAGATGGTTATTTCCTTCGATTATATCGATAGAAGAGTTCAAGCATGTTTTTATCTTTCCTTTTTCTATTAATTGCTACATTATTACTTCTCGAACATTTATTTTAAAGTAGTCCGCGTGATTAAACGTTTGCCATAAATATGTGCGTAGGCACAATTAGCTTTACAAAACAATGAAGAAACTCATTTATTATACGAGAACGAACATAATTCACTATAAAATCTGTAACACGTCGTACTCTGTTACTTTGTACGTGTGTGCTCTTACGTGTCTAATTAATATTGTGTTCTTTCACGATTCGAGAAATCTAAATTACAATAGCAAAGTGTGTGTTCAACATGTCGATGAAAGGATCCCACACTAATTATATAGAAAATTGGGTCCCGGTAAAATGAATTGATTTTTATATATGTTATATCTTATAATGTGAACAAAAATATTATATACACAAATGACTATTATATATACATATGACTCAAATAATGGATAATTCTAATTGTAGTATCAAAAGTGTAAAACTTGTACTCATCTTCGATACACGTCATAAGTATCCATTATTTGAGCTATGTGTAACATTTTTGTTCATCACATTATAAGTTACAGTATGTGTAAAAAACTAACTCTTTCATCGGAACCCAATTTTCTATATAATTAGTTTCAGGATCCTTTGATAAAATATGTGCAAGCGAGATGGAGATGACGAAAGGCTCGATAATGGAATAGAAGTAGAGAAAAAGAGAGAGAATACTTTCATGTACCAATTACTAAATAGACTGGTACATCTTGGATGCGCTTCTCACCCGTATTCGTCGATAGTCATAAAAACGGTCGACTTGACTGTGCATAAATATCTTCCGCAAGGATCCGAAATGTTCCATACAAGTCGACGACGTTTCTTACTTGCATTTAGTGGTTCAGATTTTGCGTTATAATATTTCCTAGGTGATATTTTTCGCAATGAAACTATTTACAGCTTTTAAAATGATTATTAGCATCAGATACAATTTTGCACGAATTAAGGGGGAACAGGAGATGTGATTAAATAGGAGGCAGAATTTACGAATTTCTTTCAGAGAAAGAAATAAAGCGACATAGTTTTCTGTTTAGAATTATATTTAAAATGTAATAATTTGTAATACAAAATTTATTAAAAATATAGGAGTTTTTATTATTGAAGACAGGCATGAAAATTTCGAGTGCCACAAATCGTGATTTTTAAGAAAGCGTTCTACTGTTTTCTGATCTAGTTTTCCTCAGAACATTTTGTCCTACAGATTGAATCTAAAATAGATAATTAGGAAAATGTTATTACAAAACAGTAACAACATAAATAACGTCAATTTTAATGTGAACATTAGAATTTTACGTTTACGTAGTTTCCATTTTATAATAATTTTCTAATATTTTAAATTCAATCTGAAAAGCAAAATGTGAAAAAAATTAGATTAGAAAATAAAAAATTGCCCTTTTAAAAGAGCCATAGAATTTTGGTGAAACTGGAAATTTTCGAACCAGTCTTCAATGACACAAAAAATTCCTATATTTTTAAGAAATTTTTTACTGTAAATCAACTTTCTATTAACTTTCTATTCAATATATTTTTAATAAAGTAGTAAGTAATACATCTAAATTGCGTCCATTTATTCCTTTCCCTGAAATAAATTCGTAAATTTCGCCTTCAGATTGACTATACAAACTTCCTGTTCTCCTTTAAGGCGTGTAATATTTAAACGGAACAAACAATTCGTATTAAAGAAAATAGATACGTGTAGAACAAAAGTCAAATTGTTGCCATTAAATCTCAAACGTTATTTTACAGTGTACGATACAATCGTACGTGATCGTGTCGGATGTTACTACGTGATATCTAGAGCACGTAAATGAAAATAAACGCGTTGCTTCTCGGGACTATGAAAAATCGGTAATCAACGACACGCGAGATATCTTGTTAGCGACACGTGCTTTGCGAATTGTCGCCCAGCGAAACGAGTAATCATCTTTCGCTCGTGCGAGAAAATCATGCCAAGATATTTCCTTTCCCATCACATTCGAAAGAATTCTTTGCGGAATCTTTCATCGTGTCGTCCTTCCTCGGTATCCATCAATGTCGCGCGTTTACATCGCCTGGATAGATCGTCTGCTGTAATAATCTGTCGCTTTTCCATCTCGTTTAGCAAGATGGATTTCTATACGCGATGCGCGTCTCTGTGCACTTTCAATGCATCGCGGAATTGCACTCGCGTGAACAAATGGCAATGACCATTGCTCTGAGTAACATCGGCAGCCGACGGTTTTCCATTGAGCGGTTTTGATTAGATTTACTCCGCTCGTTGCATTAATATCACGTTCCCTGACGTTTACGATTGAATCTTACTTCTATTTCCGTTTCTTTCTATTTACGTGGCGTTCCTTCAATCTCATTGTTATTGCATTAATTGTGTTAATAAGACAGCGCAATTAAACGATAATTAAGTATGTTAAACGCATCAATCAAAACCTTACTTTAATAGTAAAAAAAAAACTTCATTTCTATACGTAGGTTCAGGTTTTTTTTTATCAAGCATTGAAAAGATTGACTTATAACGTTCGCAAATCCAGCCTTTCTGCTTTGGTTGAACTATTCGTTCAGTTTACATATGTATCGTGCTATCTACCAAAAAATTTACAAATAAATTTGAGGTTGTACTTACTAAAGTAGTTAAGGGTCTCCCGGATCTGATCCGGCGATAATTTCAAATCGACGTCCTCCGATTTGAGGGCAGGCGCTGGGATAAACCAATCGGCGTTCTCGTATCCTGTAAATACAACGCGACACAATGAAAAATAATCTCTTAAAAATCTTGCTATTAATATCGCGTGCACACATTATCATCATCATTATTATTATCATCATTATCATCATCATCATTATCATCATCATTGACGGTCATCGCGCGATCCGAATTCGAGCAATCTAGATTACTCCGTCTACTGAAACGGAGATTGCAAAAATGTGTTAAGCGCCTCGGTCTGCAAATTACTTTAAAGCATACTAATATATACTCGGGGCAACGTATTAACGTACTAATTAATGCGGTAATCGTATCCGTTCCGAAGACGGGTAACAAAAACGCCATTGCCCGCACGTTACAACTCGCGCGGAGCGCGGCTAAATGTACTGTTTCTAATTAGCCGCAACCCTGTCGGGGACGTATCTTTTACAGGCTTCGCTTTATTGACGAGACACGCGATACGGGCCACCATAATCAAATTAATGGTTCACCATCTGGCACGTGCCACATTATTGCTCCTAGTTCAACGCACTTGGCGAAAGATCACGCAAGTTCTTTCTTTATACTTCCCTACAATGTTCTTTATACTTTCACACTTCTTATGCTCTCTTTCTTTACAACATGCGATCGTACATGAAGTTCGTTGTTTACCTACTTTCGATATTATTAACTTATCTTTCTCATATTTTTATACCTTACAATTACAATATGTCTTTTTACGGTGCTTTCCCTGTTTCGAATGACGCGTTGCAATTTCTTAACGTGACCCTTATGCTCGGTACTTCAGGGCTCCATAAAACGTTCATTTACGAAATGCGTTTCTAGACAGTTACTGGACAGGCTTCCTCAGTTAATTAGAACGCAGGAAATTCGATCGGGCGCACGGTGTGGTCTTCTCTACCTATATTGATTTTCAACATCCCACTTTCTCGATATATCAAAGACGAGTCATTACAGTAAAAGTTTACAATCATCTATAGAACTACGTTAATGTTTTTTCTCCTCGCGGAAATTACGTTTAATACTCAAAGCGACTGCATATTGTCGATTTTATCAATCATTATCGAATATACGACTCATCAAACTGATCAAGTTTATCCGGTATCTGATAAACTCGTCGAGATTAGCACGTTTATTGACGGTTGTATTTTATCATTGCCGATAAATTCTAGAATATAAATTCGATGATGTCTAGAATACAAACTGTTTGTGTACGTGAAAAAAAAAACAAAAGGAATTCAAGGTTTCTCCGACCGCAGCGAGCGGTCATGCACTTTTTCGTTTTGCATTAAACACACGCTTTACCTTTCACCTCACGTTTCTCGTTTTCCTAAGAGAAATAAGTAGGAACGGAGCTCACCTTGGAACTGCGTTAAGGTGTCGGCTCGGAGACGATATCTCGGTATTTGCTCTTCCAGCAGGCTGATTATCTCGACTTCTGGCAATTCCTCGCCGCTGCATACATCTGCAACAATCAAGCGCAGCATCCACCGTGGCGTTACTAACAATAAGTGCGAAGGCGCGTTCATTATGCGCGCGCCATAAAACGCGGTTCCGCTTCGAGCATAATTGAGCGCGCGTGCTACGCGTCATCTCGCGACTCGTCCCCTATATGCGGGAGCTCGACGTCAGGTGCGATGGGAATGTACGCATTGTGCGTATCCGCGTTGGGCGCACTTGCGAAAGAAACAGGAAAAAAATCGCGTTTAATCGCGTCGACTTGTTTCACACAAGTGCAAAAATTAGAATGATGACAAACACGATTCAATAATAGCGTTGACGCAACGTTTAAGTCAGTGATGCGCAACTTAAGGGCGCATTTTCAGAAACAAGTAAAATCTTGCGGATCGCATGTTTATTTCACTCCCTTACTTCAAAAGTGACACGACTCAAAAAAACTCGCTTTTGCGTTATTATTATTAATCAGCTAAGTAAACATTACTCTATCAATCTCATCAAAAGTGAACTAACTGAACTGTGTAAAAAATTGCCAAAATTGTCATAATTCAAAAAGAATAGGTTTTTAAGGATTGTAAAACGAAAATGAGAAAAATGACATTTATAGTTTTTCCCCTTTTCTAGGAAATTTAATTTTCTGAGTTGTTATACTTTTAAAATAAGAGAACAATTTCATTGGTAAAATAAAATAGAAAATATGATTTTCGACTATAAGCCGACGGCGGCCGACAAAAAATTCACAGACGGACCACGAGTTGCGCATCACTGGTTTAAGTTATGAGAGATACTCAACTGGTATACGTTTTACTAAACAGCAAAAATAGACGAATGCGATAAGATGGAAATATATATATTCGCATCATGCGCATGAAACTCGCATCGTTTTCATGAAAATGAGAAGGCGCGAGCGAGAGGCATGAATTTTCATGAAATAATATATTTTGTAATATTACAGCGCACTTTATGCTTTTCAATCGCCCTCCTCTTCATCATTGTGCAACGTAGTTGCACGTAGTGACAACACGTTATCATGAAAATACCTCTTTTATTATTATTACAAAGTTATTTTCTATCGCGCGTTACGTTGCACGACCGCTTAAAATTTTCTACCTGCGGTGTAAGACAAGAGTGCGTGACTTGAGTGACAAAAAGCGTTTGCTTGCGGTACAGCAGAAAACGTGGAGGAGGAGGAGAGATTTCTGCGGCTTACCACAAATGAGGGGCCCTTCAACGGTTGCATACCACATCAACATGTTTCATGCGAAGCGCATGTAACTACAGACCTTCGGAGTCGATCACCTTTTCAGGATACGATAAACTTCGAAGATGCTAATATTTAGTAATTAGAAAATAGAAAATTTAACCAAACACTGTCACGTCTGTTTGTCTTTGTAACTGAAATTTAAATAAAATTTCAATAAAAAATTCATTCTAATTTTGATAGAAATTTTTCACATCAAGTTGTGTGTGAGTTCAATAAAGATTATTAATCATCTCTACACTGTTAAATTCATTTATGTCAAATTATACCCAAATTGAGTTATTTTTAATTATTTCTGCAGGTCGCCCCTGCTCTTATTTAGCATGTCGTTAATTTAATTGAAACAATGGAATTAAGAAATTTATAATTGAAGAAGATATATTAAATTTGATTCAATTTTAATTATTTACTAAGAGTATATGTTAATATAAATGTTGTTTATTTTGAAACTAACTACACAAATGAATTGATTTATACATTTTGACACATGGAAATTAAAAATTATTTAACACAAGGGATTGTACAAAGGAGTAATCAGTACTCCTTTGATATTTAATGATGTTTAATTAGAGGTTTCAAATTTTTTTTTTAAATTATATCTTAAATGTTGCCGAATAATTTATCCTAAAGTTCACTGAAGATGAAGACGTTACACTCGACAGAGTCACGCTTCCGGGTTACTCGAGATTTATTCCAGACGACGCTATTGACAGCAAAAAATAGTACTACTGACCTGACGTTGTACACAATTCTTAAGAGATCCTCGCACAGTAGTTATGTAGTAAGCAGAACGCATCGCCGACCGAGAAAAATCACAGGACTTGGTGAGTTTTTCTCAGGAAAACGCGGCAACGCAATGTATGTAACGCCGGCTCAATTCTACAACTGCTGATGCTGACTACACCGGGAAACAACGTGAGTCTCGATTTCAATGAACTTTGTACCCCTCAGAGTATAGTTTTTCGCCCTATCCCTCTCTCGTGAGACAGAGATGACCCGCACGAGAAGAGTATCTCGCTCAATCGCGCTGCACGAACTCATCGTGAATTTAACACATAATCGCGATGATGCTTCAGATTAGCTGCACCGATTGTTCAACGCGTGAATGCCGGTGTGCGCTTTTCGCGAAAAATTATGAATTTCTTAGAGATTTCATTAATGACGAAGAACACAGTTAGATCGTTGTAACCGGTTCCCAACGTTCTTCGTTCGAATTGAATTGTGGAAACCAGATCCCGCAAGAATTGTAGATTTAAAGGTACATGATGCTACGCTACACGAATTACGACACGTCGAAAAAAAGATCGAAAAAAATCATCGTTTAAAAAGGAGTAAAAATAATTTTTGTGCATGTGACTCAAATGACGATTCATATGAGATTCGTAAGAGCAGATGAAACATTCCAATATTAACAAAGGTATAAATTTGGTAAACTATCAAATATTTAATTTGATGTCAATATTAACTTTACATCCAATATTTTGTATCAATTTCGCGCGTTTAATATTATTTTACTGGAAAATATAAATTATGGAAATATATTGAAGGTTTGCCAATCTTGACAGAGCGTTAAAATATTTTATGTATTCGTTGTAGTTATTTTCAAGCTAAATTTTGAAAAATTGGATGAATCGCATGTGAAACAATAGAATTTATCTATAATAACAGAGGTTTAATTATCAAAGAGAATTTTGTTAAACATAATTTGCTTTGTGTCTAATTTTATGTCAATTTTAATTTTACTTAAACATTTTATGTGTGTGTCAATAAAGTAAGTGAAAACTCGACTGAGAAATGATCAATACAAATAAATAAAGGAGATATTATATTCGACCAAAGTAAATCTTGATACTTAATATGTCAGTTTCGTGCGTTTATTGCTCGGTTATGACAATATTTTATTAAAAAATGTAAATTATAAAAATAATAAAGTAAATTTTATTGCTCGTAAATAATTTTTTTTAAGCCAACTGAACGAATATTTTTCTATGAAGTTTTTATAATTTAGTTTCTCCATATTTTTGCTATATAAAAAAAACTTCGTTAGAAAAAGTCTTTTATTAATTAAAAGATATAAATAAAAAATAAACTTCAGCTTTCGTTATCTGTTCCATTTATATCAAATATTACATAAGTCCAAATCTTATTTTTATTGTTCTTAAATTAGATTGTACACGTTTTGACTTTTTCTCAAATGTTTATGGAACTATTGTGTGCAAAAGTATTTTTTGGGATGTGTAATGTATGAATGTGAGTATCGCATTGAGCTTGGAATTAGCGTTTAATGAGTCTAAGAACGGTATTCATAGTCCGTTCTTATTTTAAGACTGTCTCAAGCAATGTCTTAAGATGCTAATACAGATCTCTGATTGCAGCTTATGACATCTTAGGACTGTATTCAAGACAGTCTCAAATATAAGAATCGACAATGAATACTAGCCTAAATGATTGTGCAAAGATGCGGACTAGTTATCACTGCAGAAATGATAAAAATACCATCAATGTAGAGCGCGTGCTGCCACATACTGGCAATCGTGTGCAACAAGAAGGTAAATCGTCGGTGCACTTACTACAGAAGATAATGCCTGCTAGTTCATATCAATACCTAATACGTTACCAACAGTAGATCGTATTGGTAAAGGGAAACAAAATGTAATACTATTAATTTTATCATACATATGTATAACGTATTTCATACTATTTATACTTTCAGTAGACCTAAATAGAATGTAATCATCAGAATACATTACTTGTAAAATATACATTACAGTGTATATGATGTTTCAGCAAATGCTTTTATGAATTTAATTTTAAATGAAATGCTAATTTAACATAATAAATTATTACTTAGTGTACAATTAATAATTAACTGTCAACAACAACCGCAATGATAATTATTCATGCCCAGTCGATAAAAAACTATTTAATTCCGCAATTAAAAAATATTAACATTCAATCTCTTTGTTATTTTTTCCTGCCGATGAAACAGCTTCGTTTCAATTTTGTTTTCTAATCACGTTTTACCTCTTTGTATGCGAAACGTGTAATAGCGAAAAAAATAATCATTCGCGCTCGAAAAATATCGTGAATGGATATCGTACCATCTCGCCACTTGCTTAGTACAGTCTCACGTTTCTCAAGGATCTCTCTGAGCTTCGCTGGGCCCTTAGGCCTTCTTGCTTCCTTTGTGCCTAGGTACATAATCTTGTGTTCGGCGCTGGCCGAATTCTTTGCCCTTTCGCTCTCTTCATCAAAGCACCTTCTACCGCTATCAACGAAGTTCGCTGCCAGCAAGATTCACGAAATTCAATTCCGGAACTCACAGATTACGTAAAACGAAACAAAATCATCGCGGTGCATCAGCGATTGAATGTTTTGTGAATTTATTGTCTCTGATAAAAAAAATCTTGCATAATTAACTCCCAAGAAGACGATTCAATAATTTTACGATTTGATTAATGACAAACGTAAAAATGTTCATAATTTTTATGCTCTCTATTTTGCAAAACATACAAAAAACTTTGTTTCTGAACTTAGTCTTTATATAGAAATAAATATTTTGATAATAAATCTTCTCCTATTTTTAAAATGAGTATTAAATTTTTCACTCAATTTTAAACATATATTAATTTAAATTTTTGTGATACAATAAAAAAAGCGCAATTATCACGTTTCAAATTAATGTTATCAAATATTATAATAGTAAGTGGGAACGTATGATTGATCCAATAAACTATCGAAGTATGTTGGCGATATGTCGTTGATAAACGCTTTCATCTGTGAATTCTTTTTTATCCGGACAGCTGCGAAGAATTAAATTGTGTAACAGGTCTGCGTGCACCTTATCGTATGCACACAATTATAACGAAATCGCTAGTAAACGAGTTAAACGACACGGTCGCGCATAGCGATTATGTATGCTCCACTAATTACATTGAACGATGAATGACGCCCGGCGTCGTTTATTCTGGGTGATTACGCGAACAAAACTCTTCGCGACCTATCATTAATGACGATGCGTTTGCGAACTCGGGAAAGACGTTCTTTTTGAGTCGCGAGCCGCCGAAGAACTCCGTCGAACGTACGTCGCGATGGAGGAAAATAGCAGCGACCAGTATAGCTGGAGCTTAGCCAATTTTGATTTCCGTGATCGGGTCATTTATTGAACGAAACTAATTTGAAAAGCTAAATTTTTCATTTCGCTTTAAAGAATTAAGTTTCAGAAACATATGCTTCACAACAGTGAATACATAGAGCTCTTCTCTATTAATCTTTAATTAATTTTTTAGCGATTTTATATAACTAACGTCTTTTTCTCTTGAATCCTTAAATATATTTGAAAAAGTTGTATTCTAAGATTAATCTTAACCTTATGGATTTTCTATAATAAGCCATTTCCTAAACTTTAAATCTTAAGTCAAAAGAGAACCATTGAAATTATATATAATCGATTATTCTTTTTACATTCGATTGAAATTGGTCAATTTCTTACATCTTGATATAAAGCTTAGGTAATGGCTTATTGTAGAAAGCCAATTAGATTTATGATTTTTTCAATATTTTCTGTATTTAAGTATTGGACAAGAAGATAATAATTTGTTAGAAAAAAAGAAAAAAATATTATTTTGGATTAGTCAATTCTTAAAATGGAAACACTATTTCAGCTTTATGATATATTTAAAAAAAACAGGAGGACCGAGCTTGCGATCGATAAGTTTAAATCTTCACTGATGTAGCAGTCGCTTTCGACAAGGTTGCTGGCAAACGGCTCGAAGTCAACCAACCAAAAAAAAAACATGTGTACGGCGTATACGCATGCATTATATAATAGACGGGAATAAACTAGCGTTTGCTAATGGAACGAATTTTAATTGCATATATTTCATGAATTTCTTCACCGCTAAAATAACAGCTAAATCGTTGGTGTAAAAATTTGCACTTAATCCAGTAGCTTGAAAAAGCCGATCGATCGAAAAATATTTGGAAGAAATCACATATGTTTTTCGCGAAAGAATGCACGAAGAAATGACGCGTTGATTTAGATTCTATATAATGCCACAAAAACTAACCCTTTGTAGGTCGCCTATTTCGAGATCTGAATAATTATACTTTCGATAGTTTGGACACGTCGCGAAATAATGGTACCTTAGAAAACTGTTTCGAGAATATTATCGATCACATTGCAATCAATACGAAGCATATATCGAAGATAAAAGATACTCACAGATATTTGCAATAACAAATCGTAATGACAACCAACATTTTTAGCATAATGGTCATGATGATGACGACGACGACAACGACGACGATGAAGATGATGATGATGATGATGATGATGATGATGATGATGATGATGATGATGATGATGATGATGATAATAATGATTATGATGCTGACGACGGCAAAAATGATGATGATGATGACTAGAACTATAACGATAATGATGATGACGTCCATGATGATGAGAATGGAGCGTGGCGTATTATCCGCCGGGCAGGAGTAATCATCATTTGGCTCAAGCCAATGGGAAACACCATGAGGCTTGGAACAGGTAAGCCACTTTATAAAACTCCTCGTGCTAGCACCGTCAAAGACAGTTTCTCTTCGTACGCTAACAAAGTAAGATGTAATAAATCCGTACCTTGAACGCGTGAGATCAACGTGCTGTTCTTCGTAAAAATCAGTTTGTTTACGCGAGAAATTCTCGTCGGAAACGACAAAAGTTCTCATTGCACTTATATCCGTCAGCCAGTTGAATCATCGTCACGTTTAAACGAATCGTGTGTTTTAATCACGTCTATATTAACCATATTAATCATCGATCACTATATTTAGAAAAACTACAGTTTACAAGTAACGATTCTGATCGTGTTGTGAAACTAGTAGATACACACTCACAATAGATACTAAGTGAAAGAATCAATATCTTGAGCACCGTTCCCGTGACATCGCCCAAGCGACAGCTGGTACGTATATAAAAATGGTAAAAATTTCTTTCGTCTTACCCGTGATAGTCTCAGCGTCGCGTGTACTAACGGGACTAACTAGCTTCTTCGATGACCTTGATGCCTGGAGAATCGCCCTTGCCGTGGGTGAAACTTTCAGAGAGGCGGCGGATGGTCGGATGGGGCCTTCGGGCCGCTTTGGACCCTCATCTTCCACGGTGGCCAGCTTGGACGCTGTAGCGAAGAGCGATATCGCCTCGCTTTCCTGAAATGCAACTTTATATTCAGTGTTTTCGTGACCAGATTAGAATAGTAATTTAGATCAATGCGCAAAATCTCGAGAAATTATTTTTTATTTTAAACTACTTTCAAAAATCATATTTTCGTACATAAAGTTGTTGAAAGAAGATTCCGATATTTTATGACACTTAAAAGCTCGCGATAACTTTTTCCAAAATCTATTCCCAACTAACTTCGTCAGCAAATACAATTTTGCACACTGAAAGAAAAAATGGTTTCAATTATTATACCATTTAATTATAATTTATAATCATTTTTGGTGTCAACTGTATACTTTTGATAAAACTAAAATAATTATTATTATTATAGTAGTAATAATTATGTATGTGTGTGAAAATGAAACTCCTAATCACAATTTCGTCATGCAATTACAATCACCAGACACTTTTTTTCAGTACATGTTTTTAATGCAGATTCTTTTAATTTCAGATTATGTACATTGTAGATCTATGAGTTCAGAGAACACGAAAGAAAGCGCGTTCCTTTACGCGCATGTCATCGCCAGAACAAACACAAAGTATTTTTGAAAGGGGGGTTTCACCTTCCTCACAAGACCCTAAATACCCATCGGGAGGAATCGGCGTTTAAGCCGTTGCGCTTATTTAGATGGTAGCGCTCCGGCGGACACGTTCATTTTGCTCGTCTTCCGGTTCTAGTTTATTTCAGGACACTGACTCGAGACGACACAGACATTTCGACTGTTTTTGCAAAAGTATAAAATCTACTGAATGCTTGTTATGTCTTCTCACAACAAACATCGCTGATTTTACTAGTGCAATTATCGATATTAATTTTAATCTTTAAATAGGTGTAGATGAACTGCTCATAAAACACATTCCAAAAAATTTCTATTTTTATAATTAAATTTTTAAATAATATTTACAGATTTAAATTTATTTATTCTCTTATGATACAGAGAAACGTAAAAATAATGAACTTTAAGATTTCTAGGCAATACTTTTTATTATCCTTCTCCAGAACAAGGTTTTTACGATAATTATAATAGAATGTGCTGCTATGACCACCTACCTACTAGTACTTAAAGGTTAAATTTATAAGTAAATATAGAATATAATTCTAAAATCTAAAGCTACCCGCTGTCAATAAATTACTTTCGGTAGCGAGATCATAACTTTATAGATTTTAAAATTATAAAAATTAGATATAGGATAGAATCAACATTGAAATCGACATTCAAAGGATCAGTTAAATTTGCATAAACACATGTAACAAACTCTCAATATTTCGTTAATTTTAGCAATCTTGATTCCCTTGCAGAAATTTCTTTGTTATTGATATCTTATCAATGCGAGCGATAAGGCAACAAGAACCGCTCATTTATACGTCATATTAATCGTCATTACGTTTATTCTCGTTAACACGTATACCGGTGAGAATTAAAACATCCGCAAGCTTTAATATTACGTTCCACCTTAATTTACGCAGAGCACGAGCAGAAATATCTAGGCTAAATGGGCGTTACGTAAAATTTTCAGATGATATTTATGAGCAAACCTCAACGTCACAGTCGAAGCGGTGCAGCTGCGTGACCGGAGGTGCTCCGAAACGCGTTTTGCACATCTCTTTCGACGCGCCAGTCAAGGTTCGTTAACATTTCGCCGTCAATTTCACTTTTTGATCTTCTCGGTGGACTTGGCTACGCAAGGCGGCACAAGGTTATGAGAAATAATACTATATTGATATTCTAATGCCACTGTACCTACTATACGCGAGGAGAATGGAACGCGAAAATGTCATAAGGCAGATAATCGATCTCCAGTTGATATCCTATTGATAGTATTCTTGTAGAAATTAACATGAAGCGATAAAAATGATTGAACGAAAGCTGCTAGTGCACACGTGTAAAAAAAGTACTGTACGAAATAAGAAAAGATAAAAATTGTCCGAAAGCTCGAATATAAATGTGATAAAAATTGATTATCAACCGCGTGAATTGAATAAATACAGAAGCTCTTATCGTACTCCGACGAGACTAAAAAGAAAATTTGAGAGGCGTTTCTTAAAACAGAATCAATAAAAAATCTGAAAAGTTAATTTAACTGTAACTTTAAGCACTTTGATATCTATCCTCAGGACAGAGCGAACACTAAAAAGCTAATTCGTAATGGCAAATAAAACATGAAGAAGCCCCTCGTTAACTTCACAAAGTAGTCACGAACGTATCTCTATTTATCTCAAGCCTATCGATCGATTATATGGATATTGATCGCATACTATATTTCATATGAGTAAATACGAGATAATGCATTACTAAAATTAAATGCGTTTCGCAAATTCAGAGAATCTCTCTGAGATAGCTGACAGCTTTCGTAGGGTGGGAGAAAAACCAGTCCACTCATTTATCATTTCGGCATATGGTACTCTAAATGAGAATTTTCGTCATCACCGAGCGTAATAATGAGTAAGTGGCTGCAACATTGATTAAAGCAATCGTGACTTTTCTTCATAGTCAAACACACTCTAAAAATAGCGATGCCTATATAATTCTCACTGTGTTGGTGTTAATTAATATTAACGCCAATATGATGTGGATTTAACATCATGGGTTTTAAATCCACACCATGGTGTTGATATAAACACCAGAGGTTTGAAATTCACACCATGTTGGTGTTAATATTAATACTAACATAAGTGAGAATTATATAGACACCGCACGAGTGTTAAATCCATACTAGAGGTGTTGAATTCATATTGATATTTTTTAGAGTGTACGAAATGTCTTAAAAACGTGAGAGAACTAATTAGGTAATTTTACATTTTACAAGATTTAAAGATTTTACAACGTGACACAATCCACGCGATTCGATGCAATCTGTAGGATATGGGTATGGTCAATGTAATGCTACAAATACTTTGAAGCATTCTTTAATTGGTTAATTCATAAAATTCTTTCTTCTGGATTGGTCAATCAAATGCTTCAAATAAGGTTAGTCCGATAATTCTTAATTTCTCGTTCGTGAGTCGTTTTTATCGCGTTCCCTTGGCTGTTTTTTTTTTTTTTTTTATTACAATTCATTTTCTCGGCAACACAAAAATTGTCATAAGTGTTTATCGTAAGTCAAGAATCAACGTATATAAAGCATATGGACCTACAATGAGAGTAATATTACGCAGTAATTACTACTTATAGCTTAAGCTATAAGAAATTGACCAATCATTATAGTTGATTATTCTCCTCACATTCGACTGTGATTGGTCGATTTCTTACTGCTTACAACTTTACCACATAACTCCAATTGCAGACGACCCTATAGCTTTGAAGTTTAAAGTAATAACGAAATAGAAAATCCAAAATGTTGATTTGCTTACTGCTTACTGCTCAAGTTTTTTTGTGTATCATAGTCTTTAAGACTCTATTGGAGGTAGTTACAATAAATCCTGTGTTGACTTACGACTCTGTTGGACAATTACGACAAGTTACGACAAACTTTGTGCTTACGCTATTTCTCGCAACTTACAAAGGGATTTGAAAAAACGGAGGATAGCGGCACCTCCACGGGCTGATAAGCCATCATCTCCGTGCGCACGTGTCGGGCTAAAGATCCGTCGTGGGAAAGATCCGATGCGGCGTCCCTCTCGCATCCTTGCGACTTGTCGCGGCTCTTAAAGACGCGCCGCGCTGAATTGCGGCGCGCCTCCGCGAATGCGATTCCTCGCAACAACATCGCGCGACGTCGATATCACATCATGAAAGAAAGGTGTTTTATCGCACTCGACAAATAGAACTACGGTTTTGTCAACCCTCGGCGATAAAAAGGAACACTGATCGATTCGCGCGAGGTCTTTGCTTATGCTGATGTAATTTAAACATCAAGATTCGCACGACGCGATCGAATCGAGGGAATAGTCTACGGAGAGATAAGTCCGCAATTGTTAAATTTGCAACTGTGAATGGGCAAAGAAATTTGTACGAATACGGTAAAGTGCAAAAACGCGCACGCAACTGTTGTAAGATTCGATCCTTCGCTCGGATAACTCGATCAGTTCTGCAGGATCGAGCCGATATGTAAGAGCAATATGAGTTTTGCCCGTTATCAACGGATACTGGCTGATAACGAGGTACAATCTCATTTGAAAATGCTTGCTCGGCGTGTTTCGCACATGGAGTGAAAGTACGAAAAAATGAAAAAGAAAAGATTTAAAAAATTAGCGGACATATACCAAATAATGAAATAAAATGCTACGGGAGTAGCATTTTTTTTACTTAGGAACGTTACATTCGTAGATTGTTTTTGAAATAAGATCGCGAGAGTCTTTAAAATGCACACCGTCGATTGCGCGAATTTGTATACAGATTGCGACACTCATAAAACGAAGAACTGCTGCTGTCAGAATTGTTAATCATTAATCAAAGACGAAGTTGAATAATTTCGTATCGGACTGTACCAATCTTATTCACCTAGCTTTTTTTCTCATTCATCATGTATTGACCTATACTATGTTAATTCGCACGTTTATTTTTTTTATAGAACTCCTGCATCTAATTAAGCAACGTAATAATTACAGATTAAATGACTTTATACATATGCTTTTGTAATGATCATACTGTACGTTGATATAATTTGCATATTGGATCCCAAATAACTTGCCTATTGGTTTCAAACTAGAATGCAAACATCTTAATTATCAAAAATTATGCGGGAGATGCGTTTCTTTAAAGTAATTTCATTATTAAGATAATTTTTATGTGAAGATTAAAATCTCATTATTGCAAGCGAGTCTTGTTTAATTTATGCTGCACGTGGAAGAAGTTTTTTGTACGTGGTACATATATGTGTAGCACTCTGATCAAGAAACATGATGTAACGCGCTATAAACATAATAATTGAAAAAACGTATTGATGTTTGCTTTACACTTTTCTAAGTAAAGTTTCTCTATGTTGACAATTTTTTATTCAAAAAACAAGTTGTAATTTTATATTATATATATGATACACAGAAAATAAAAATAAATATAATTTTTGTACAAAATAAAAAAAAAAGATTTCAGAAAAGATTTGATAAAAGATTTTAATTTAGATGCCATATAAATTTTAGATATTCGATAAATGTATACTTTTTAATATGTTTAATACACATGACTTTTTAACTTTTAAAATGTTTTATACATTATGTACAGAAGGAATTGGGAACTGTAAGCTGTGGCTGTGTCTCAGTCGCGATTCGAAGAGCGAGCCGACTCAATCGCGGAGTGATCCCCGAAGAAGCGCACATCGCGTTAACAGAGCTGACATTCATCATATCGAAACGCTTTCTACACGGACTGTACATTGCTAAGTCCGTCGTTCGACTCCTACCAAGATTAAGGTAATGCTCGGCTGATATGATACAATAGTTATGTAGTCTTTTCAGTGCTCTATGGTGCTTCCGCTGGATGGCCGCGACATTTACGAGACCTTAGTGGAAAGAAAGGTACGATCCTATTGTCACATCCCTTGTCACATGATTCGCACACGCTTAATATTACTCATTTAGATGAAGATTAGATTAAATGTCATCTCTGAGAAAACCAAATGGAAACGAAGAAAACTTGCATCTCTGAGAATTAGAAATCTTAAGAATTATGACTTTTACTTAAAGCTTACTTTCATATATAAATCCTGCACCTTAAGTCTTGCGACATTAAGTTTATAAAAATTAATTCAATTAAAACATTTAAAGAAATCCCATAAGAAGACCATAAGAAATCCCATAAGAAGACATAAAGATAAATATCTTTTATGGAAAAGTCAAAAAGCTCACCGTAGCGTAAGATGAAATTTTTGGTTTCCGCTATGGGAAACCACTACAATCACCAATGGAAGAAGTCGTGCAGAGACTGAAACAGTAAAAGAGCATATAATTAGTAACTTAAATTTTGCATTAAAGCTACATCTAACGATCTCAAGCTTTTATCATATTAAAGAAATCACTCTTTTTGTAAAATTGGCTAGATATGCAATTCTTATCATGGTTGCGTGTATCATCCTTTGTCTACTAAATGCATTGTTCGCTTTATCATCAAATTAGTATATTTACTATCGTGTCATTCTGTGTCCTACTTGGCAAAGATCTATACTTCGTCCAAATGTAATTTCTGTAAGAAATAACAGTTGCAACATTGTGTCTAAAGTGAGAAAGAGTTTTTGCAGTGACAGAATCATAATTATAGAAATCATGTCAAATAGAAATTGTTTGTCATCGAATAATGTCTTCGGTACAGAAATGCTGGAAAAAAAATGAAGCAAAAGGTACGGTAGAAAAGAGGTGGGAAAATCGCAAAACGGAGCCCCTTATCGCAGAGTTTATCTCTCTCTCGCTTTTTTAGGTTATAAGGATATTATATCTCAGAGAGAGAGATACTCGGTGCAAAGTACAAGGTACAAATGATTACAAGATACTTTAACTATCCCGGATACACCTGTCCGCCCCTCCCTGCGTGTTTTCACAGGCGGGGTGAACAATAAAAGCCCGCAAGCGATTCGGACGACAGTCGAAGGATCAGATCAGCTGTTGACGTCGCGAATCGGTGACGCGTGCATCGAACTAACGTTTACGGGGCCGATACCTCGCGGATCACGAGCTCATTAGGTGTTTTCGTATAAAGGAACTCAGTGATGACTGTGCTGAGTGCTCCTTTAATGTATCGATTGAATTATTCTCGCAGTAACCTCAGGCGAACTTGGACGGAAATAGGTTAAAGGACGGCGTCGCCGTTAAAGGACGGGACACGGGACGGCGGATTCGATCGCTTACCGTGCGTCGATGTCTGCCGCACATTCTTATTTCTTGCTCGAGAAAATATACAGAGAGATACGCGTCAACGCTACCGCGTGCACGTTCACGTCACTGACATTTCCCCGGGACGAAGCACCGGGACTGACCGGGACACAGCAGTAGCACCGTACACTCCCGCGCGTCGCGTTCGCCTCCAGGACCGTGGCGAGTGGACCGAATGACGTGAAGCAAGTCACGAGACGAAACGAGTTGAAGGACGCGCGCGGACGAACAAACGAGCCGAGAGTCCGAGAGGCGCCAGGCCGCGGCCGCGTCACGGTAGACCGACGTCGAAAGTATTACGTTAAATATAGGATGCAAAATCGTAAGGCCTACGTGATCCACGAGCGCCTCGCGAGATGCGCATACGACCGAGCGATACTCTCGGCGCCGTTTATCGCCTCCTGCCTGAAGTTAGGCGCTTTACGGCGCTTTACGATTCGAACGCGTCGTGGTCGTACCTTGATATCCTATGCATCGTGACTATAGATTTGTATTTGTATAGACAGATCGCGCGCATTTTTTGTTGAAACTTGAATTAGCATTGGCTGCGTTCAGCAGACTCAACAGTTTTGCAACCGTTTTATGATTGTCTGCTGAGATAGGACCATTCTTCTAGATCTAAAAGTATGATCCAATTAGCGCGAAGGAAACTTATAACAGTTGCAAAACAAACGTTCTGCTGAACGCACCCATTATTAAGAGAATAATGATTCAGATGCTTTCCTTATTCAATTTACAAGGAGAGGAAAATAAAAAAGAGCAATTGCCTTCTTTACTTTTAGGCCGGTATTCATAATAATAAGTTCTTATTTCAAGACAGTATAAAGCCTATTCTACAATTGTGTAGGCGTAGTTGTAAATGGTTGTAGTTGCAAAAATTAATCAGTCATAGTTAAGTACGAAGAGAATATTTTCTTCGAAGAGACTGTAGTTCATCAATTCTAATATAAATGCAGTGGCTGCGTTTAGCAGAAAAAGCAGTTTTGCAATTGTTGTAAAATATTTTGATATGATTGGTTTAAGCCCGGTTGTTCCACCTTTTGGTATATTTTACCTGTTGGGTAAGTAGCAAGATTATCCAATTATATACGCGGATTGCCAGCTTTATCTAACAGGTAAAATTTACCAAAAGGTGAAACAACTGGCCCTTACATAGGGTCCGATTCAAGCTCACAGTTCTATCAGTGCTTACGACATTAATGGTCGGTCCGAAACAAATAGCGTGCTAAAATTCTTCTATTTTGGACTGGTCGTAAGCACAATTATTAAAGATATTCATGAATGAAATTTTGATGAACAGTATAAAAATTATAGGAGCCGTTATATTCTCTTGTAGTTATATACTCACTTGATCATTAGGGTCATCATCAAATTCTTGTGCCTCTGGGGATGAAATATATATAAAAATATACTACTTGAAGACCATTACTGGGGTGCGTTCCAAAACTCGACTCTATCAACTCCGAGTATCTTTTATCCTTGTTCTTCACCGAATGTTGAACAAGGATAAAAGATACTCGGAGTTGATAGAGTCGAATTTTGGAACGCACCCCTGAACTATCAACCTCGTTACTCTTATCAATGGGAATTTGAACACTTTCTTGATTGATCAAATTTTTGTTTCTTTTTTTATATACATTCTTAATGAGACTTGTTATATAATTTATATCTGAAAATAATAAAAAGCTAGCCTCAAAAATGTAATTAACAAAAGGTTATTTCCTTTTGATCAACAATGTTATAGCTGATTATAATATAATTACATAATACAAAAATTCATTAATCTTTTTACCTTTAGTGATCTTTGCAGCGTTTTGTGATGAAAGTTTCAAAATAATCGTTTCGCCAGTATCTTCCACAAAAACAAGAAATTAACTGATCTGACATCGTAAAAAAAATTCCAAACTTTATTATACTTTATTTGAGGTTATAATTTCTTCTTGTAGTTGTGAATTTAGCATTATGTAACATGTTTGTATAACTACTTGCAACTGAATATATTACGTGTTGTCATGTTCAACTTGCCTTTTCTTTCTAAAATGTTCGAAACCGTTATTTTTCCCGCATTTCTGACGTCACGTAACCATAATGCTCACGGCCTCAGCAGCCTCATCTTTCATCTAGGGCCGCGGTCCGATTCACGCTCACACGTTTAAAAATCATTTCATCCTTGTTGTTTTTTCAAATGTTGAACAAAGGCAAATAATGCTCATGAGCGTTGTCAGCATGAATCGAACCACGATCTAGGGGCACTCTAAGCACCGTGAGTGCTACGTAACTATGACGTCACTGTGTTCACACTGGCGCTGCAAGCATGAAACGGACCAACCATAAGCAATCGGGAACGCAC